AGGATATGTAGATCTAGAGAGACAATAACTGGACTGATAATTGCCCAGGGGCACGCAGGGGTGTGTGGGGAAAGAGGGCCCTAACAACATGAGAAGAAAAATGATGTGGTGATGACTAAACAAATATGATTGAACAACTACATTGGATGATAATGAAAGGTAGCTAGATTTAGGGACAAAGTGGGGCTGTCTCCCCCAAATGCCTGCGCGAACAGAACTTGTCTGGCAGGGCCACATACAGGGGTTGGAAAGAGATCAGGCACTAATTGGACACCGATGGGAAATCCAACTGAGCATGCGCAGACACAAGCCCCCTAGGCCCAAGTAAAACCAATACCTTGGGCACACCCACCTTAGGTACATCACACAGGTGGACCTAAACCCAGCCAATGGAGTCAACCAATACTCTCAACCATGCCTCCCCGCAGCCAGATGGCAGGACAGAAGAGAGGCAGGAAGCACAGCCCTGCATGCTCTCTTGGCATCCCCTCTTGGCCAGCTGGTCTCTTTCTGCTCCGCCCCTGCTGAGGGCATGATGTAAAGAGGGCCTGCAGCATGCGGGGCATGCATGCACCTGCCTGCCCCCTCAGGCCCTCCTCCGGGCCTACTTGGGTCCACTTGCTCTTAGGCTCTTGGCCTCTGGGGATGCTCCAGTTCCACACAGTGGGTGTTCTTTTCCCGTGGTTGTTCACACCCAGTTGTGAACCCAGCACAGCCTGGCACACTTTCCAGAAATAGCTTGTACCCTTTTCAGATTGTAAAACCTGAAACTTCTCTGTTCCTTCTTAAAAGCTCATTTGGATTACAAAAATGTTTCTGCAACGTGAATTCTTTCAGTGCCGTGTAGCAAGAACCGAGGTTTACCCCACTCCAAAAACCTAATAATGTGAACTATATGTCAATAAAACTCTCTATAGGAAAAAATAAATAAAAGGGGGAAAAGATTATAACCAAGAAAACCCTACGAACCCCAGTTTCACTAGTCTGAGACCAGAACTGGACAAATACCCAGCTAGCACCACTGACTGCTCAGGATCACAATAGAAGTTCCTGGAGTCAGGGAGAGAAAAATGTACAACAGAATTCATAATCATATAAAAGAGCACACTTGCTAGTCTGAGACTGATGGAATCCCAAAGAACAGGGCCCTTGACACCCTTCAAATCTGGAACTAAAGCCACACGTAGAGGTCACCTTCCAGCCAACAAAAACCAGGCCTATCAAGGCAACATTCACACCCATGAGAAAGGTGGTCCTCATAACCATCCATCAGGAGAAGAAAAAAAAGCATTTGCCCCAAAAGAGAGCTCAGAAGACAGGAAGGGATAGGAAGAGGAGAAAGCGCCAACAAGGAAAAGAGGGAGGAAGTAAGCAGAGGGCTTTCACCACGATGGGATCCTAAGGAATGTCAGGGAACATAATGTGTACAAACTGCTGAGTGGAAAACTAGTTTTCCCTGTAAACTTACACTCAAACCACAAGAAAAATGTTCAAGAAAAAAATGGTTAAAATGTAAAGCTGTATTGCATACGTATTTTACCACAATAACAAAAATGACATCATAATAATAATCCGACGGATCTGTTTTACTCTATAACCCAGGGGGTTGCCAACAGGCACAATGTTTGGGTTCATTGGGATGCCGAGCGTGCTCCCAGGGAGCAGCACCATCCTCTTTGCCCCTCTTTTCCCGGGGCGGCAAGCAGCCTTCCACCCCACGTGGACAATGGCAGAGGAAATGCTCGAGAGTTGCCAGACTGCGGCCTTCTCAAGGCACTGCCACGGCTGGGCATCCATGAGTGCATTCCAGGTTCACCCTAGCGCCTCGACCCTGTGGATGCTCTATTTCTCCTTCCCATTTTGTTTGTCCTCCTTTCAAATCAAAACTCACATTCCAACAGATTCCAAATGCATGATTCATAGTAGCGGAGGAACCAGTAAATTTTATTCTAACCGAGCGTACTGGTCATTAAAAAGGGAGCTTGGTAATGGGGACATCTTCCTGCCTTTCTCTAGAATGATGGCCCCCTGCCATCAAGTTGATTCTGACTCATAGTGACCCGAGGACAAAGCAAGACTGTCCTGGAGGGGGTCCAAAACTGTCCCCATCTGTCCCCTGCAGAGTGGCTGGTGGTTTATGCTGTCAACCTTTCAGTCAGCAGCCACATGCTTAAGCACAGCATCACCTAATTCCAACATCTTGCCTTCTTCTCCCACTACCTCTCATTACCTACCTATAAAGCCACCTCATCATTTCTGGGTCCGTTGCCTGCAGGAACTGAGATATTCATGGCTCAGTTCTGAGAAGGTAAGTGCACTCAGTGCAGTCTACACTTTAATTACTCTGGAAGTCATTCATTCACAGAGGATGTGGGGGAGGTCACAATTCCTATCGCCGCCATCACCAAACCAGATACTGTATGTCTATCACCTGAGCCAGCTGCTGCTACCAGGGGCTCGAAGTGAAAAGGCATCTAACAGTGCCCGTGATGAAGGAAACAGATGCTGCTGCTCCTGGAAGAGAAGCCACTGAAAAGGGGACAGGGAGAAAGGAAAAGAAAGGAAGAGAGAAAACCAGTTGAAACTGGGCGTTTACTTGACGAGGAGCCAGCGGGATGTGCGTGCTGAGGCAGTTTCACAGCACAGAGGGAAGGCGTCGGTCAGAAGGCTTCCTTGGCACTATTAAATTTCTTTGGTGGCAGCCTTGGATGGGAGGGCAAGGCGCAAAAGTTGCGTTCAGGGTTATGAGAACCGAGAGACAGTGTCTGCGAACTTACAGGGATGGACCGGCTCAGGAACCTGGCTGCAGAAGAGGAAAGCCCGGTGTAGGTGGGTCGGAGGGTGGTGCCGGGCTCCTCTGCCTTGGTGCTGTGGGGGCCGGGGTGGCTGGTCAGGCTGCCCCCACTGCTGCTGCTTCTGTTGTACTGGTTGTTGTTGAGCTCGGGGTAATTTCTGGCTGTTGGCTGGAGGCTGCCATTCAAGAGGCTGGTGAACGGGCTGGCTATGAAACCTGGCTTAGAGGATGCTGAGGTCTTTTTGCTCTCGGGATCTTCTGTGGCAGCGTTCAAGTTCCCTAGAGAACTGGCTAGCCGGGAGTTGATGGAAAAGCTGAGTGGGAAACACAGATGAAGAAGGGGGGGGGAGGAGACAAAAACATAGACGACAATGTATACTTAGGTTTCCGAAACACATATGTACGACACTAGGCAATGTGATGAAGACGACCAATACAAATGATGACAGCATGGCTCTGTATCACTCTGGATGCGGTTTAAGTATGTGGTCTACGGCTATTACACACGGCAACATTTTCTGTCAACGGCAGTAAAGACCCCAGAAGCCGGTTAAAACTGGGGGCCGGTCTTAAAATAGAGGGCCCGGGGTTCTATTTGTTCTGGGGTAAGAAACAAAGGAAGGAGGCTTTACAAGGGGAGTAAAAAGCAGACCAGCTGGGGGATTTAACTTGTACACAGTCGTTCACAAATGTCTATACCGAATGGCCCTGTTTTAGATCTGCCTGTGTACATGAGGAAAGACGCGACAATATCATTTATCACCTGCATATGCAGCTGAACTCCATTTAAAGGGCCAACATTAAACAACCTGGAGATTCAGTACAAGGAAAGGACACTCCCTCCCGCACCCCAGCAATGTGACGCTGGAACAGAGACCTCACTAGGATCACAGCCCCCTTCGTGTCTTCTCCCTCGTCCCTGGCCCCCTGCACTGACACCACCACCGCCAAATGCACTTGCCAGGGAGGGAAGGGGGAGAGACAATTACCTTCTTACGTTGGCTCCTGAGGACAAAGAACCTCTGTTGATCCTCTTGGCGGTCGCTGAAGGGGACAGAGCCCCTTTCGAGGTCTTCAGAGCACATACAGATCCTTGTGGGGAAGAGCTCAATCTTTGTAAAGAAAGGCGGGGGAAATGTCACACACAAAGACTAGGGTATCATCACAGAGATCAGGACCTGATCAATGATGTGCATTAAAGATGCCCTGACAGGTATTAACAATGGTGACAGCAACAGTGGTTGACACTTAACAGAGCACACAATGTGCCCAGTACTGTTCCCGGGACCTGCCAGACTTTCATTACTCCTGAAACCAACCCAGGGAGGTATCTAGGAGTGCTGTCGCCACCAACAACCAAACTCACGATCTTTGAGTCGACTGCAACTCAGTCACCCTTTGGGACAGGGCGGCACGGCCCCTGTGGGTTTCTCTTTGCGGGAGTAGAAACGCAGGTCTTGCTCCCGCAGGGCGGCTGGTGGTTAGCAGCCCAACCTGTACCCACCAGAGCTCCCATCCCACCACACGAGGGAGGCGCTGAAAGTCACTCTCTTAGCAAGTACCAGCACTGGAGCTCCAATCCAAGCCAGTTTCTCAGGGTTCAAAGCCCTGCTCTGAACCACAGGCTCAGCATTCTTGGTTTTTTCCTCTTCGTTGCCATTCATGCCTCTGGAGGCACTTGGATCCTGCTCCTTTCTATTTCCAATCTAAGCTTCCCCTTTCACGGTAAGGTCATTGTTATTTCTCATCCCTGACAACTCAAAACTACTATTCTTCCTCAACACCTCAAGTTTTGATTAGCCTCCAGCAAAATTGAACATATAAACATAATCTTGTCACTTGATGTTTAAATCCTTTATTTGTCCCTTGGTACCTAAACAGTGCAAACTTCTTGGCGTGGCTTATAACCCCGCAGCAGTCTGGCCCCTGCCTGAGGAAGCTCTCCAATACACACGTTCCCACCGGGGGTCTCCACCCCAGTCACAGACCCCCTTGGATGTCCTGACTGAGCTGCATCCACACCTTTGTCTCGTTTGTAGACGGTGCTTTTCCGTCTTCTCCTGGACAAATCACCTGGACCCTGGCTTTACCTGTTGTTCACACACAGATGCTGTGCTCTGCACTCCTCTGCCCAAACAACGGCTTAGTGAGGCACAGGGTTTGCTTCTGAACCAAGAATAGGAAAACGTGTGCAAAATAGCAGGTCACACCGTCAGGAAAGCCAAGATCCTCTCAGAACTGCCCCCACTAAACAACCCTCCACCTAATGAGTAAAAACAGAACGGAAGCCCAATCAGCATCTTTCTCCCATTTCATCACCAGTGTCGGCCAAATTTCCACTGCTCTTGCCAAGCCCCATACAAGATCCCTGGTACCCCTCCCAGGGCATTCAGAGTACATTCTTCTAGAGGAAAATACTATTATTTCCCGTTTGGATGGGGAAGAGCGAAGGAAATCAAAATACAGTGGCTGGGAACATAACAAAAATTGAGGGAAGGAGGACTAACAGAAATGGGGGCAACAATCACGGTAAAAACCCAATACTCGAGAGAAGGAAGTTGCAAAGCGGCTGCGTTCACCCCAGGCCCACAGCGTGCTGGGAGCAGAGGGCATGCTACAATTGTTACCAGAACCACACAGCACTGCAGGGCATTGAGAGAACATAAAATCCTGGTCACATGAGCATTAATAGTAAAGCATATTGTAACCATATGGAATGGAGGAGAAGGGAAAACATCTTTTAAGTGAAAATGAATGCGCAGTTTCTTTCCATCATTTATCTAAAACATAGACTTTACACATTCCAAACCACACCAAACACCGTCATTGAGACGATTCCAACTTAGTGATCCAATGGCACAGAGCAGAACTGTCCCTTTGAGGTTCTGGCCCTTTAAATCTTTATGGGAGCAGCCAGCCTCATCTTTCTCCCACAGGGTGGCTGGTGGGTTTGAACCACTGACTTAAGTGATTAGCAGTTCAATGAATAGCTCTTGTGCCACCAGGGTTCCTTGTATTCACATAGAAATTACTAGAAATTCAACCTCAGTAACCGTACCTGAAAGGCTGTGAGGCTGATCTCGGCTGCCCTTTTATATCATCCAACCTAAGAAATCAGAAACAAAAGCTTTCATAGCACCAAGTTCATATACTTAAGCAAAGCATATCAAATCAGATCAGTAAAAATATTAGAATGGTAAAAAAGGGAAAACCTTACAAAAGGAGGTGTGTGTTTGTTCCTATATATTCATCTCCTTCATGATAGACACAAATACACATACTCATTAATATATACATATATAGTCTGCCCCTTTAAAAATAATGCTAAAACCTGCAGGAAATTTATTTTACTCATAACTGATTTCATTTCATCATGAATTTTATTTGTAACATCGAATTTTTCATCAGAACATGGTGCTGCATCCACTCAGGATAAAGAATGTTGGAGGAGGATGTTCAGAAAACTAATTTCAAAAAAAATGAGAAAATTTCTGACTAAAAGTAAAAGAAGATGAAGAAGGGTCCAAGCCATACTGTCTTGGAAGTAAGATTTCTCTCATTTTTTTGCCTATTTATTTAGTTATAAATTCCTGAAACTTATGCCTCTTCTTGCTGATTTCTTAATAAATATAAACCCTACTTCAAATTAATTTTTCAACCAAAGTAATTTTCTTAACATTTCAAGGGAAAGACATGGTGCATCATTTAAAAAAAAAAACACAGATTGATATTGTACACTGTGTTAGTATGGGTAGACTGGAGAAGCAAATTAATAAGACACCCATATGTATAGCAAAGAGCTTTATATAAAGAGTAACTGTACATTAAAAAAAATCCCAGCCCAGTCCAGATCAAGTTCATAAGTCTGATATTAGCCCATATATCCATGACCAGTCTGCATATTCCTCTTCAGACTCATATAACACATGCAGTGATGCTGAGTGCAGGAAGATCACAGGTGGGTAGAAAGTCTTGTGGCTCCGGTGGTAGTGAAAGCAACTCATCTCAGCACGGGTGTGGATCTCCACATGTCTCTTCCAGCTCCAAGGCTCTGGCACTATCAGCATAGTTCCCCATCTGGCTTGTCAATAGGAATGTCTCGCAGGGAGTGAGCGTGTATCTGACCTCCAGTGAGCTATTTACCTCTGGTTTGTGTCCCCAATGAAATCATCAAACTGTGACCTGATTGACAGGCCAGACTCCACCCCTTTGCAAATTGACCAGAGATATGTAACTGTCACAGCCCACCTCTTGTCAACTTGACACTTTTATACAACTCTTTAGCCATACATAATTTTTAACAAAACAATAATAAAATTAAATCTGCACCTAACAGGATAAAACTAAAATGCATACAATTCAAAAATGTGCCAAAGCTTCATTTAAATATAATATTCTAAAGTGAACAAAACAAAAATATTCCATATTTATATGAACGCCTACACCATAACCTAATGAACATATTCCTATGATTATATTCCCCCACCTATGAAAGTATGTCAGTCAGCCACGTCATGCCTTTATCCACCCCATTTTGGATATCCAATTTCTACACTGTCCACTTGCATCAACCTAGTGCTCTGAGGAGATAATCATATTCTATGTGTGAAGAATCTTCTCTGCATCCATAAGCAAAGTCACATCAGGACAGGCCATGCAAAAAGTCAGCAGCAATATGCACCAGTTCACAGGCTCAAAAATCTTCTCTGTATCTGGTTGGGTTCTGGTCAACTCAAGGTGGGTTGCCTCTTAGCCTCACAAAATTGCCCACTGGTCGCTTCACCTTTAGACCATGGGCACTGTCACAAATTCTCAACAACCCTAGCCCCCTTGTGCTAGGTCATGAACTTCAGACAGTCAACCCACTCTCATCTTCTCCTCTAGTTCCTGTAAACCAGGTCTATGGGTGTCAGTGGCCAGAATCAGCCCATCTCTCTATTGCTGCTTTTCTCTCACTTCCACTCAACAAGTGGATCCAGGTGGTCATCTAGCAAGAATTGCAGCCTGCCTACATGCTCCTTTTAATATTCAGTCACAGAGAGGAGAGTTTCTTCATGGTTCCAGGTTTTTCCAACCTCAACCACAAACTATTAGTGCAAAAGTAAAAAATCCAAAGAGTTCCTTTTTTCTTAAGTCTGTCAAAAGCCCCTTGGGAAGTCTCTTCACCTTTGAACGTCCTGAGCACTCAGCACTGGGAGGGGTTGTTTTTTCTGAGCCTTCTTTGCAGGCGTGTCCTAAACCATTTAACCATCCCATTTTAATGACTGAAGGCAAGTGAGCTTACACGCTTTCTATTTTCATCCTTCCCAATAGCCATTTCTATCAATCATTATGTCAATAACAATAAGCAGAAGAAATCCATATAAACAAAGTAGAATCGGGTCCTAAACGGAATTCTTAAAACAGTCAAGTTCAATCCTTAGCTAGTCTATCTTAATGCTTATATAAACTATTTCATTGATACAAAGTAAGGGATTAGGGCTCTGACAGCATCAAGCCAGAACCAGGCTTTCAATAAGCCATTTTCATTAAGCAGCTCTGAGAAATTAAAGGGGAGATTTTGTCCTGAGCTCAAAATATACATTAATCACTGTGTTAGTCTGGGTACTTTGGAGAAACAAATCCACAGAAACTCATGTATAAGAGAAAGGTTTATATAAAGGTTAAGTGTGCATCAAGAAAACATCCCAATCCAGTGCTGCCCAAGCCCACAAGTCCAACATTAACCCATTAACCCATATGTCCAACACCAATCCACAAAATCCTCCTCCATCTCACAAAACACATGCCATGACGCCGACTGCAGAAGGGAAGCCCAATCAGTGAATGTGTAAGCATCTCAGTGCTGGCAGGGGTCTCTACACGAGTGCTCCAGCATCCAGGGCTGCATCGGGGTAGGTCCATGTGGCTTCTCCTTGGGGATGTCTTGCAGAAAGTCAGCCTTGCAAGCTGAAGCAGGGAACTGCTAAGGCAGTTGCATCCTGGTGCAACTATCACAAAGCAAGTGGCCCGAGAACTAGAAAGGTGAGGCTCACGGAGCCATTATCTCTCAGCCCTTCAATTAACCACAGATGTGTTTCTTGACCAGGTTGGCACAATAAACTAACTACCTCAATCACATTTATTTTTGCCATTTCACACAGGAATAACCAAAGACTACAACCAATGAAAAGAAATCAAAACTTCAACTTCCCATGTTCTTTCCAGAAAACAACCCAGTAAACTGCATGGACACACGCATAGACATAAGCTGACCTCCAGCTAGCCAAAGAAGAAAAACCATGAAAGAGAGATCAAGCAAGCATCACTCTCCATCTTTATGATTTGTTTATCTAGTACCTCATTCCTGGTACCATAATGTGTTAGTCCGGGTAGAATGAAGAAACAAATTCATAGGCGCTCATATGTGTATAGCAAAGAGATCTATATAAAGAGTAACTGCACATTTAAAATATCCCAGCCCAGTCCAGAACAAGTCCATTAAGTGCAATATTTGCCCATATGTCCAGGACCAGTCTGTAAATTCCTCTTCAGACTCATGCAACACATGCAATGCTGTCGAGTGCAGGAAGATCACAGGCCAGTGGGTGGGAAGTCTTGCGGCTCCAGTGGTGGTGGAAGCAATTCATCTCAGCGCTGACGTGAGCCTCCACATGGCTCCTCGCTCTGGTTCTATCAGTGTAGCTCCATCTGGCTTGTCAATAGGAATGTCTCGCAGGAATGAGTGTATATCTGACCTCCAGTGAGCTAATTATCTGTTTTTGCCCCCACATGAGGTCATCAAGCTACAACCTGATTGAGAGGCTAGATTCCACCCCTTCACAAATTGACCAGAGATGATGTAACTGCCACATACACTGAGCGTGAAAAACCTTCCAGTGAACATAAACTAAAGGGAACTAACGGGGTTTGAATCTCAACTCCATTTCTCACTCCAACCCACCACTGGGGAATGGTTTCACCTTTGTAACCTCTAGCAACCAATCCACATGAGGACATGATGCATCCTTTTATGCGAACGCATCTCAGCCTTATATCCAAACTAAGTGACCTCCTGGCCGCTGGTCCAGTGCAAGCATTCAGTGAATGCTGCTCCTCCTCAACATTCTGGTGGGATTTGGTGGTTATTACTAAAAATCGGGCTTCCCACCGCTTCTGTTTCCATCTTATTCAAGAAAATGAATATCTCAACTTCAAGCTATACCAATCCCTATATCTGAGATTAGCATATCAGTACTAGAAACACGTAAAATACCATACCCAATCTGGCTTTATGTGTTATAATCTTCCTAGATAAAATCATGATAATCCAAACCCCTGTGGTGCTGTCAAATGTTAATCATACTGGCAAGATATTCCTCCTGCTATCGGTGTCCTAATTAAAATTCAAAGAAATAGTCATTCTCGGACCCATTTCATAAATGATAATAAAGAATCTTCATGATATTTATAACATTCTACACTAGCACATATCCTGAAGCCTTTCCTCACCCAACCTGAATTCTCAGTAGGTTTCACAGGTGGGTGGGGCTTAGAAGTCAACTACCATGAACTAATTCTGATAAGCGGTTTCAAGCTTTAAACTCAAGAGGATTTACAGCAGTGGTTTTCCACCTTCCTACAGCCACCACCCTTTCATACAGCTCCTCATGTGGGGGTGACCCCAACCGTAACATTATTTTCATTGCTACTTCATAACTGTCATTTTGCTACTGTTATCAATCGGGCAACCCCTCTGAAAGGGCCGGTTGGACCCCCAAAGGGGTCGTGACCCACAGGTTGAGAAGTTCTGATTTAGAGCTTTCTGGGTACAGGTAAAATTCCCTTACTCATGCCTCCAAAATAGAAAGAAGTCTAAGGAATTAGAGGCATACCTCAATGATGTTGCAAGTTTGGGTTACAATAAAGGGAATATTGTAATAAAGTGGAGTCACGAATTTCTTGGTTCCCCAGGACATATAAAACGTATGTTTTACACTATGAAGTGTGCAATCCCATTGAGAGGAAGAAAAAAAAAAGTCCAAAACATTGTGAGAGTCATCCACATGTGACAAAGCGGCACGAAGTGAGCACGCGCTGTTGGGAAAAAGGCCCCAACAGACTTGCTTGAAACAGGGTTGTGGCCCCAAACCTTCAAGCAGTAAAACTCAAAATAAACAAGGGCTGTCTGGAGTTAAAATGAAGTATGCCCATAGTTAGGGGACACCAAATCTTAATGTGCAATACTTCCCACACACTCTAGTCTCTACACAAAGCCTTAGCCAATTCCCACAGGAAAGTGGCATTCCAAAAGGAATTAGGAATACAGTCCCCAGAGAAAACTGACCACACAGCAGTTTACAGTGGAATTCCAGTGGCTGAGATGGAGGCTGTTGCTCTCCATAAACATCTAAAGCTCAGCTACTCCCCACAGTGACGGCAATAAATAACGAAACATGGTACAACTTACAAATGGTGATTCCCCAGACATTGAGAGGTAGAGTGATATCCGAAAGAGATCAGCAAAGGTTTTATACACAAAAGAAAAGCCAAAGCCAAACCTGACTCATACTGACTCTCTCTAGAGTTTCTGAGACTGTGAATCTTTTCAGAAACATACAGCCTCGTCTCTCTCCCACAGAGCTGCAGGGGGCTTGAAGCTCTGACCTTGCAGTTAGCAGCCCAACGCCTAACCCCCAACCCCACAAGGGCTCCTTTTCCACAGAGAAAGGACACTATAAAAGGAAGTTCATAACGGACCTACCTAAATGCACAAGCTGGTGAGGAACGTGGCTGTCTCTGACTTTTTAAGGCACGTAGTTTGTCTCCCTGGGTTATACCATTCTTCATTTCTACATCTTCATCTTCTTCTAAATTATTCTGGGGGGAAAAAAACATGTTCCATAGAAAGGTCATTCCAAATCATTTTGCTTTATACAGGCCTTAATTCCTTTAAATGCACTATGAATTTAGCAGGGCCTGCAAACATACTAGAACACACAACTATTTACCAGCTAAATGCAGCAGGGTTTCAAAATGTTCATGGGAAAATGCCATTTGCTTTCAATTTCATTTTCCCGTGAACTTTACAAAGCGCCCTTACATATGGTTCAGATTCAAAATCAAAGAAATGCAAGCATGAGGTGGGAGAATTGAAAAGGAAGTTCTTTGTTACAGTGGACCACAACCAACAGACTCACACAGACACAATCCACAAAATGCATTTTGGATTATTGCCGAGGCATAGGCTGGCTGAATGGATATGGTAAATGGATCTGTTTCAGAGAGTACCAACCAATGCAAATTACATAAAGTGTTTACAAAGACCCAAGATAAAATAATTGCGGTGACTAACTGGAGTGCCTGGGTTGTACAAGGTGCATGTGCACGCCTGCTAACCAGCAGGCTTGAGAGGGTAGAGTCTACCTGGACACCTGGCCCTCTACTTCTGAAAGGTCCGCCACTGAAAGTCCTCTGAAACCCAGTTCTACTGACACACAGGGGTCACCCTGAGTCAGAATGGACGCAAGGGCAACTGGTGCTGGTCCATGGTAACTTACTAACATCATGCAACACAGTCAAGCAGTACAAAACACTCCAGCAGGAATTCACGGGCTCTGCTCACATACTGGGGGAGCGTGTGTCCTGGTAAACTAAGTCTAATAGCTTAGATAATATTAATTACCACACTAGGTCTTTTTATATGCCAGTTTACATAATGCCCTGTTAGAGGGCATTATGCGCCTTTGTTTATTGATGAAAAATAGAAAAAGGGAGGTGCTCATGGACATTAGGCATATTCTCCAATATCTCTAAACTTTTCATGGCAAACTATGGTTTTAATATCACATTTCTTGACCCCAGATGCAATGCTCTCTCTAAAGCCTATGCCATAGCATCAGCAACGACACCAATAAAAATGGTATAGAGATTGTATGCGATCTGTTTCCTCATTTGAAAAATCCAAGATCCCTTCAAGCCAAAAGAGCTCGTTCCGCTTTAAATGAATAATATTTCATGAATAATATACTAACTATATTTCCCTCATTCGTCTTGTCGGGTAACCATCCTGGAGTCAAAATGCTTCTTCTCTTCCACCACCTAGGCTGGATTCCCTGGAACTCAATGGACATGTTTCTGGTAAAAAGACTACACCACCTCTCTACCACAGCTCCAGATTTTAAAATACATGCCCTGGAAGCTAGCAACCATGCATCCTCTCGTATTTACTAACTCATTCATTCACTTCAATAACATTAACCACCTCAAACACCAAACAGACAGGGATGAATAAAGCATTAATTCCTATCGTTGGTAGGGATAAGCCCATTGCTGACTCAGAGAGACCTATATAAATGGTTTCTAAGGCTATAAGGTTCTATAACTTCATCTTTCTCTTATGGGCCAGCTGGTGGGTTTGAACTGCTGATCTTGTGGTTAACAGTTCGGTGCTTACGCAGTAGAGATAGCATACATTTAAATAGATAATACTAAATCAATGCAATAGTACAGTTTTTGAAAGCGTGTGAAAAGAGGATTTAATCCAGCTGGCAGGAAAGAAGAAGAAATGAAGTTGAAAGCTTCGTAGAGGAGGCGGTCCCTCATAGAACGAGTCCAAGTGAATGAAGCAGGCTAAGATCTGAGAAAGGTCAACAGTCACAGGATCATGGAGGCGAACAGTCAAAGGGTTATCTTAACTCTGTGAGCCAACACACTGAAGTATGTGAGATGAAGTCTTGCCATCTTTGCTTCTAAGGAGCATTCTGGCAGCCTGTGTTACTTTCAATATTCTTCACCAGCACTGTAATTCAAATCCTTCAGTTCTCCTTCGGTCATCCTTATTCCATATCAATGCATATGAAGCCATTGGAACTAAATGGCAGCATCACGTGCACTTTAGTCCTTAATGTAACACCCTTACTTTTTTGTTTGTTTGTTTTTCTTTTATTTTTCCAATCATTTTATTAGGGGCTCATACGACTCTTATCACAATCCATACATACATCAATTGTGTAAAGCACATTTGTACATTCATTGCCCTCGTCATTCTCAAAACATTTGCTCTCCACGTAAGCCCCGGCATCGGGTCCTCATTTTTTCCCCTCCCTCCCCCTTCCCCCTCCCTCATGA